GGTTTATGTGTTATTAATTTTGTCTCTATATTTTGTACGTTTTTTATTTTAGTCCTGAACGCTAATATTTTCTTTCATTTACACATCAAAGCTCCAAGTTTTTGCATGTTTTATTTTAGTCCCTGTTTTTAGTCTAAGTTAATTTATTTTTGTATTTTTAATATTCGGTTTGTTATTTTGGAAATTTCCATTTCAATACAATACATGTTTAGGAATTTATTTTTAATTTAAATATTAGTAATTATGTTAATTTATTTTAGCCATAGATTAGATTGTAAATATTTAGTCATAATTTAAAGTTTTTTTGGATTAATTCTTTAAATTTAAATTTAGTTTAATCTAGTCCTTTGTGTCTCTATTTACATACTTGTACATGTGTGCAACATCATTTGTATATTATTGTTTAAATGTTTTATGTGGAATAAATGTAGATTATATTAAATTATTATTATTCATATATTAACTTGGATTATTCAATATTTATTCTTTTGTTTTAGTCCCTTAATTATTTAGTTTGCTAATCTTTGTTACTTCATGCTGTAAATTGGTATTTAAGTGTAGTGTTAACATCTATATTAATCTTAATATATATATATAATTAATCTAAATTCACTTGATTTGTTATAAGCATGTAAAGTAATTTCAATTATATTAATGTTATTATGTAGATCGATTTATTTGTTACTTATTATATTTTAAAAATGTTATATATTTATATGTATATATTTTACTACAAATTTTTAGCAAACACTATTTTATTAGTTTATTTAAATATATTTCAAAAACACTTTTAAAATTATTAATTCAAAGCAAATTAATTAATATTCAATAAATGGATCATAATTTAATTTTATATTTAATTCATGATTTTCACCATTTACGACAACGTGTAAGCGAAACAGTACCAATTTTGGGCGCTGTGGGGGTGCTAATCCTTCCCCACGCGTAACCGACTCCCGAACTCGTTTTAAACGAATCTTGGTAAACGCAGGCCAGCTTTTGTCTTAAAAAATGATTTTTCTTAAAATTGTTTTTAAAAGACGTTTTTAGGTATTCGACCTACCTAACCCAAAGGTTGATGGCGACTCTTTTTAATTCTTTTTAATTTATTTCAAATTACTCCAAAATCACCCATTTTCCAAAATTAAAAGTCGTAACTGTTTTTAAAACAATTTAAAAGATTGTCCCGCCGGAAAACGGTTACGACAGCTTGGCGACTCCGCTGGGGACCTTTTTTAGAGAGTCAGTCTGTAAGTCGCTTACACATTGTCGTTTGGTAGAAATTATGAGTTCGAGTCTTTAGTTAATTTATCATCCTTTTATTGAAGTTTTTAATTGCTTCATTTTATTATTGTTTTACTAACATTTTTATCTTTGTTTTCAGATTTGTCCAAAATTTTGTCGAATGATGTTATTTTCCTATTGAGTCAAAGGGTTGAATGTTCCTCCTCACACACGTCACGAGCATTTGCATAACATAAGTTCTATACCCGAGCTCCGAACCTTTCTAAGTGGGGGCGAAAGCGATGCCTTCGTGAGAATTTATTCTCCGTGCAGGCCTAGCAAGTAACCTTCGGGATTCATATACCTTATGTTTTCGTGAGAATTTATTCTCCGCATAGACATAAGGGAATGTATCCTCTCGAATTGAACTCGATCCGTTTAAAGCCTATAATGGGTGAGGATTGAGGGTTTGGCAGCCCAAGGGGGCACTAACATCAAGGACAATTCGAGTACCTTTTTCTGTTAGAAACGCAACCACGCATATAGTGAACCGTAGAACGATCACCTGAGGTATAGATATATCGAACCTATGTCTGTCAGTAGGTACCCAAAATAGGTGTACACAAAGGAGGAGCGTTTCTGAACTTTTTCTTTTTTGCTTTAAATATTGTTTATAACAGCATGCAAACTAGATACCATGTGGTTAGGATTAATTTCTTGAAAAATCATTGTGGGTATATAACATGTTTGGGTAGATATCATGACGGGTAGATGTTATTCATCTTTAAATGACATTTTTATTTGTATTCAATTTCTTACTTGTACTAATTCATTTTCATTTTTTGTGTTTTTTTTGTTATCTGCATTGCATCATTCAAGATTAAGGGTGTTGATCTTTAGTTAATCGTCAAATTGGAAAGCTTTCAATAATGGACGAAAAGTATTTAAATCAAGTAGTTCAAAACTCTGAGGTACGACAGTGGGCTGAAGCATTGCAAAGATTGGAAGGGGACAGTTTGCTAGCTGATCACATGTCAGATTTAGCGGGTTATGCTTCCGTTTCTCTTAAAAGAAATGACATCCAGGACTTACGAGACATTTGGGAAAAATGGGAGTCGAGTAAGAAGCGGCAGTTTTACCAGTGTTATGGGGATATTTCCTATCTGTTATATATTGATATAGATGATGAGTTGGTCCGAGCCTTGATTCAATTTTGGAATCCAGGGTACAACTGTTTCACTTTTAATAAAGAAGACATGGTTCCTACCATCGAAGAATATATTGCCTTGTTGCGCATAGAGGATGCTCAAGAGAATCGGATTTATTCCAAGTCCATCAAAACTCAACCCTTCAGAATCAAATTAGCCAAAATCGCAGGAGTGCGTGAGGAATGGGTGGTTGCTCGTACCAAACAAAAAGGTGAAAGTGAAGGCATTTCTTGGATTGCTATTAAAGGAATCATTCAAAGTCATCCTGACGAGAAGGTGTGATTTGACCTCTTTGCACTGGGCATTTATGGCTTAGTCATTTTCCCGAAGGCCTTGGGATTTATTGAGGCTGCAGTTGTGGATTTATTCGAGCAATTACAAAAAAAGGTCAACCCTGCTCCTGTAATTTTAGCAGAGACTTTTCGATCCTTGAATGCTTGTCGAAGGCTTGGAGGTGGTCGATTTTCAGGATGCGCGCAATTACTATATGTCTGGATCCGTAGCCACTTCTGGAAAATTGAAAAAATTTCATATCATCGGTTTAGTACAAGTTACTCGCCTTTGAGAGAATTTATAGAGAAAGATTGGCCAAAAGGAGTCACTAAAGACATGTGGATAGATGCCCTTAAGAATATACAAGACAAGGATATCGTTTGGCGTGCCCCTTGGCAAATACAAAGTGAGTTCCTATATAAGTGCGGTGACTATAATTGGGTGATGTTGCTCGGTTTATGGGGAGCAATTGGGTACGCACCACTTTTGGTTATGAGGCAATATGGTGGCCATCAATTTATCCCAGTCACTGCTGGATTGCACTCATCTGAGTTTGTATTCTACGGGAACAATTACAAGAAAAACATCTCGAATGCAGTTAGAGGATGGAAGAAGACTTTCTGTACTAGAGCCGATGCAGCCAAGGTAATGTTGACGCCAAATTATGAGGAATGGAGGTCTATAAGAAAGAATGAAAATATTCCTCTACCTGACCAAAGTAAGGATATAACTATGGAGGAACGAATTCAGATAGTCCCATCGGAGATAGAGATCTTAAGAGCAGAATTCGAAGCTGAGAAAGAAGGTTGGTCGAAGAACTAGAAGAGATTCGACAAGACAAATTCATATTGAGTATTGATGTTGACTTTCATGCCGCACAATTTGCAATGCTAAGAAAGAGAAAGAAAAAGTAGATTCGGAGTTGAAAAATCTGAAGAAGGGTTACTACAAGCTGCAAAAATCTAGGATAACAATTGGGTCAAGTAGAGCATCAGCCCAGTTAACCAAAAAGTTAAACGCAGAGAAACATCGAAATAGAGATCTGAAGGAAAAAAACGATCGTCTACTCAAGAGCTTGGAGAAAGGGAAAGAAAAAATAGAAGAGCTTGAGCTTGATAAGAGGGAGCGGATCATAAGATACAAGGCCGAGAATCGCAAAGCTATGGAAGAACTAAAAAGGGAGAAAGATCGAGTCAAAGAGTTAGAAGCTAAGAAGACTATCACGATCAGGGGATTTGAAACTGAAATAAATAATATGCTTGTCGAACTTGATATTAGAGGACAAAAAATCGAAGAATTTGATATTAAAAGAAATAGGTGGGAACTACAAAAGAAACACTTCAATACTAGGCTCGAAGCAAGACAAGAGACAATCAACAGCTGGATAAAAAGGTGTGGAGATAAAAATGTACAAATACAGAGTCTTAATCGAAGGATGCAGGAAACAAAAACAAGACTTGAAGAGGATCTGGCTCAATGTCGGGCTAAAATCACAAAATCCAGTGATTATATCCTGCAACTCGAAGAATCCTTGTTCCGAGGAAGGATTATCATGGGACCAAGTAACCTTCAGGAAAGTTATGAAGAGAATGCCTTACTGAGAAATCGAATTCGAAGCCTGGAAAGCACACTGCAGAGTTGTCAAGTACGAATCACTGAGCTAGAAGGAAATCTCCAAGGAACTATTGAACAGTGGCAAACATCGAATGATTTCTATGAAGAACAGAGTGCAGATAGAAGCAACATGGTAGTCGAGGCTATAATACAGATGAGTGAAGTTGCCAGATACATTGGGGAATTAGCTGTCGAAGCAAAGGTCATCGAGCATCACATCAATCCGGTTTCTGAGTTTGGGAAGAAAATGTCTTGGTTGATTAAAGAAGTTGTCGAACTTAATCGGATGGCTAGGCCGTATCTGTAGAAGTGAACTATTGTGTAATAAAAACTTTGTGTTCCAATGGAAGTTGTTCTATGATAATTAACTTTTTGAGATCAATACCTTTTACATACATTCATTCTGCATTGCATTTATTTTAAATATTTTGCATTAATACATGCATTCATTCATTAAAACACCCAAAATAATGTAAAATAAAATTTTCAATCATTGTAGTTATTCTGGCACTCAACTCACACCCGTACGGTACTCGGAATACAACTAAGAAAATGGAAGCTAGAATGATTCAACTTGAGCAAGAACAAAAACAAGCTCAAGAAGAAATGAGAGAGAGATTAAATAAGATGGAAGCAGAGATAACAAATTCGCAAACTGGTCTACTACAAAGGATGGAAGAAATGTTTAAGAAACATGCTATAGGTAGAAGGATCACGGATGGCCAAATAACGTCATCCGAGCAAGATTTATCATATCCTCCAGGGTTTGAACCAGGGGCATCACATCCTGCGGGGTTTACTTCTGATCCCCAACACCTACCAAGGTTTACACCAGAATCTGGTCCTCCTCCTGGTTTCACACCTGTACACACCTCTGCTCACCCTTCGGTACCTCAAGAAGCACGACCTCATGTATATGTCAGCAATGAGAATCAGCAACACCACATGGGATCTGCATTCCCAAACAATTATCAGCCTGTTACTGAACACTTAACTCCAGATCTAAATGAGTTAGTTGAAAAGGAAAAAGCCAATGAACAAATAACTCAACAGTTGAAGAAATTGGAAGAAATGGTAAAATCAGTAGAAATGATTGAACCGTTCTATGGGTCTGACGCCAGAGAGCTGAGTTTGGTCCCAGATCTGATTATCCCTATAAAGTTCAAGGTTCCCGAGTTTGAAAAATACAATGGAACCACTTGTCCTTCATCTCATATAACCATGTTTTGCCGGAGGATGGCTGGCCATGTGAACGATGAAAAACTGTTGATTCACTGTTTTCAAGACAGTTTGACAGGTTTTGCCGCTAAGTGGTATAACCAATTAACTAGGGCTCATATCAAATCATGGAAGGACTTGGCAAAAGCATTCCTAGAACAGTATCGCCATGTTACAGATATAATTCCTGATCGGTGGACTCTTCAAAATATGGAAAAAAGAAGCAATGAAACTTTCCGACAATATGCTCAAAGGTGGCATGATGTTGTTGCACAGGTCCAACCCCCTTTACTCGAAAAGGAGGCTACTGTAATTTTTGTCAATACTTTGAGAGCTCCGTATTTGGGGCATTTGCTTGGAAATGCCACCAAAAATTTTGCTGATTTGATCATCTCTGGTGAGCTCATCGAAAATGCTATAAGAAGTGGCAAGATTGAAGTAGTTGAAGGGTCTAGCTCCAAAAAACCTGTATACCGAAAAAAGGAAAATGAAGTTAACAGTGCAAATGTCTACCACAAGAATACTGCAAATAGTGTCACAATAACCCAATCAAGGGCTGAGAGGAATGACATGAACACCACCAGAAATGATTTCAGGGGACCTCGTAAGGAGAGAGAGAAGGTGTCCTTCACACCATTACCCGTACCCTATTCAGAGATATACGCCTCGTTATTCAAGGCAGATGTGGTACGCCCCTACCGTTTGACCCCTCTTCAACCACCGTACCCTCATTGGTATGACGCAAATGCGCATTGTGATTACCACGATGGAATTGCTGGCCATTCTATAGAGAATTGTTATGCATTCAAAAAGATAGTGCAGAATCTGATTAACACAGGAGGATTACAATTTGATTCACCAGATGCCTCAACACACCCACTACCGAATCATGGAGGTAAAGGGATAAATACCATCCATGAGGAGAATAGGAGGAAGGCAAAGACAAACATTCATGAAATCAAATCTCCCTTCAGTTGGGTATTCCAACAACTCTATCAGGCTGGCATGATTCGACAAGATCTTAAGCCAAAGACCAATGAGTGTGAACACTATTGTGAATATCACCAAGAAGAAGGGCATGAAATTCAGCTTTGCCCTGAATTTAGGGGGTTACTACAAAGATTGATGGATAATAAGGAGGTAGAGTTCTTTGAGGAAGATAAGGAAAAAAGAGAAAAAGACGTCTTCATGACAGAAAATTCTGAGCCCGTTCACAAAAAAACAAGCCAGTAGTCATCACTGTGAAATCATCAGCAATGAATTCTGGGTCGTCAACGCCAAAAGTTGTAATCACAGCTCCTTCACCATTTTCGTTTAAAGACAGCCGCAAGGTGCCTTGGAATTACACTGCCAATGTTTCATTAATAAGAGAATCTGGTTCGCTAGAGAAAATAAAGGTAGTTGAAGGTGAAGCACCAGTAGGCAACTTGATGACTGGAATAGTGAATGAAGTCGGGCACTTCACAAGAAGTGGGAGGTGTTATTCTCCTGAGATGTCAAAAGAAATGGACAAAGTGAAGGCAAAAGGAAAAACTGTGGTGGTACCGCAAAAGATATTTGATGATGAATTCCCACCAATGATCAATGAGCCGGTAACAGAAACGCAAGCTCAAGAATTCTTGAAGTTTTTAAAACATAGTGAGTATAATGTAGTTGAACAGCTACACAAGCAACAAGCACGGATTTCGATTCTGGATTTGTTAATAAATTCAGAAGTACATCGGAATGCTTTGTTAAAAGTGCTCAATCAAACATTTGTGCCTGAGGATATATCAGTGAACAAGTTGGATCGAATTGTAGGGCACATAGCTGCTGACAACTACATAACTTTCACTGATGATGAAATTCCTGATGGTGGAATGGGATCAGTAAAAGCCCTCAATATCACAACTCATTGTCATGGTCATGTCTTGTCAGGCGTTTTGATTGACAATGGGTCTGCACTTAATGTTATGCCTATGGCCACATTACGGAGGTTACCGGTGGACAGCTCACATATGAGGGCCTACCAAAACATTGTTAGAGCTTTTGATGGAACCCAGCGGGATGTGCTTGGAAAGATAGAGATACCACTGTTGATTGGACCAACTGTCTACAATATTGATTTTGTGGTGATGGACATCAATCCCTCATATAATTGTTTGCTTGGGAGGCCATGGATTCATTCTGCAGGGGCAGTCCCTTCGTCCTTGCACCAAAAATTAAAATTCGTGACAAATGGCCAGTTGATTAGTATTGGGGCAGAGGAAGAGATTATTGCTTCTGTGACGACTGACGCCCCATATATTGAGACGAATGAGAATGCCCTAGAGTGTTCCTTCAGAGCTTTAGAATTTGTCAACGCTACTTTCATTGCTGAAGGAAACAAGATTCCTCACCCGCGTTTATCTGATTGTACTAAGATGACTGTGCGAGAGACTCTAGGAAAAGGAGCCAAGACAGGAAAGGGTCTCGGTATATGCTTGCAAGGGAGTTTATATCCCAAATTTGTCATGATGAAGAACGATCGCTTCGGGCTGGGATTTAAGCCTGATTTTCAGCAAAGAAAGAAAGAAATAAAAAAGAGAGGTGAAGTGAGAAGAGCTAGACTGAAAGGAGAGGATATTCCATGGGAGCGTATGCTTTTCCCTCCCCTAGAAAGCTCTTTCAAGTTTGGGGGAGTTTTTGATATGGAGCAACAGTTAGCCAGAGCAATTGATGAAGAAGAGCAGATGAAAGACAGAGGCTTGTTCAATGAAGCTATGGAGGGTTTGGTCATTAACATGATAACTGGGGATGATAAAGCGGGAAGATATTTGGCTGGAATCCGTCCTTGCTTCCCAGGGGAAACACTGAAAAATTGGACTGCAGAGGATCTCCCTGTAGTTTTTAAGATTAATTCAGAGTAATACCCAATACTAATCCTTATACTTGTGCCCGCAAGTATTAAGGAATTTTCATAAGGGCAGCTATGTTAACTCTACTTGCTTTCAATAAAAGACAGTCTTTTGTTTCTTAAATGGCTATCATTATTTACATTTTCATTTTCATTCTTTATATTCATTTCATAAATTTTGGTCTCCTTTCAAATATATATTCGATTCAATTTTTCCATTTGCAGGTGTCACAATATCAATAGCATGAATGTTTCTGAATTTAATACTGAGATAAACTTTGAGCAGCCCATATGTTTGGAAGAAATCAATGAATGTCAGGATGAGGTAGAATGTGATGTTCCTAACGAACTATTAAGACTGGTAGAAAAGGAGGACAAACAGATCTTACCTCACCAGGAAGAAACTGAGGTTATAAACTTGGGAACTGATGATGACAAGAGAGACGTTAAAATCGGCAGCACACTTTCTGTCGAGATAAGGCAAGAATTGATAGATCTGCTCCGAGAATTCAAGGATATCTTTGCATGGTCTTATCAAGATATGCCAGGACTGAGTACAGACATAGTGGTGCACAAGCTTCCGATAAAGCCTGAGTGTAAGCCAGTTCAGCAAAAGCTCAGAAGAATGAAGCCAGAAATGTTATTGAAAATTAAAGAGGAAGTGATGAAACAGATTGATGCAGGGTTTCTTCAAGCAGCAAAGTATCCAGAATGGGTTGCCAACATAGTCCCTGTGCCAAAGAAAAATGGTAAAGTTCGCATGTGTGTGGATTACAGAGATCTTAATAAAGCAAGCCCGAAGGACAATTTTCCATTGCCTCATATAGATACTTTAGTGGATAACACTGCTGGTCATTCGTGGTTTTCTTTTATGGATGGCTTCTCGGGGTATAACCAAATAAAAATGAACATTGAAGACATGGAAAAAACCACATTTGTGACTATGTGGGGCATATTTTGCTATAAAGTGATGCCATTTGGTTTGAAAAATGCTGGGGCAACTTACCAAAGAGCTATGGTGACTCTTTTCCATGACATGATGCACAAAGAAATTGAAGTGTATGTGGATGACATGATTGCCAAGTCCAGGACTGAAGGTGAACACATTCAAAACTTGAGGAAGCTTTTCCAAAGGTTGAGGAAATATCAATTGAAACTCAATCCAACTAAATGCACATTCGGGGTAACGTCAGGGAAACTCTTGGGTTTCGTGGTTAGTAAAAAAGGAATTGAGATTGATCCAGATAAAGTAAAGGCCATTCAAGATCTTCCGCCGCCTCGTACACAGAAAGAAGTTCGAGGATTCTTAGGAAGGTTAAATTATATATCTCGATTCATTTCACAATTAACTGAAAAATGTGACCTAGTTTTCAAATTGCTTCGAAAGAACAACCCCGAAGTTTGGAACAACGAGTGCCAAAAGGCTTTGGAGATAATCAAAGGATATTTGTCTAATACTCCAATTCTGGTATCACCAGTCCCTGGTAAACCATTGATCCTTTATCTAACGGTATTTGAAAATTCAATGGGATGTGTATTGGGGCAACATGACGAATCTGGAAAGAAGAGAGAGCTATCTATTATCTAAGCAAAAAGTTCACTGATTGTGAGAGTCGATACCCGCCAATTCAAAAGCTATGTTGTGCGTTGGTATGGACTACTCGAAGGCTCAGACAATACATGTTATACCATACTACTTGGTTGATATCTAAGCTTGACCCTTTGAAATTTTTAATGGAATCACCAGCTTTAGCTGGTAGATTGGCTAGATGGCAGATGTTGTTATCAGAATTTGACATTGTATATGTGAACCAAAAAGCAATCAAAGGGAGTGCCATAGCAGATTTCCTTGCAAGTCGTGCCTCAAATGATTATGAGTCCTTAAATTTTAATTTTCCAGACGAGGATCTGATGTGCATCACAACCAAGGAGGAAACAAATTCAGATGATAAATCTTGGAGGTTGTATTTTGATGGAGCATCTAATGCTTTAGGACAAGGAATTGGAGCAGTACTGATTTCCCCAGAAAATGTCTATTATCCTTTTACAAGCAGATTGGAGTTCTTTTGCACCAATAATATGGCAGAGTATGAGGCTTGTGTCATGGGGTTAAGAGCAGCTATAGAAAGAAAAATCAAAGTGCTCCAAGTATATGGAGACTCCTCACTAGTGGTGTATCAATTGCGAGGAGAATGGGAGACGAAGGATCTAAATTTAGTGGAATACCGAAGATTGATCCTTGAATTGGTAAAAGAATTTGAAGATGTCACTTTCAATTACCTCCCTCGAGAAGATAATCAAATGGCTGATGCTTTGGCCACACTTGCTGCAATGTTCCAAGCAAATAGAAGAGTTGACATGATGCCAATTAAAATGCAAATGTATAATACCCCGGCACACTGTTATGATATCGAAGAAGAGGTAGATGGTCGTCCATGGTATTATGATATTTTGCAATACATCAAGCATCAAACTTACCCACAATGTGCGTCTGAGATCGATAAAAAGACAATAAGGAGAATGGCTGTCGGATATGTATTAGATGGGGAAGTTCTGTACAAAAAAGGTAGTGATCAAGTTTTGATGAGATGTGTGGATGCCCGAGAAGCAAAAGGTATACTTGAAGAAGTGCATGAAGGGATATGTGGAACACATGCAAATGGGCTTTCTATGGCCAGGAAGATCATGAGATATGGATACTATTGGGCCACTATGCATTCAGACTGTGTTGATTATGCAAGAAAATGTCACAAATGTCAAATCTATGGGGATAAGATCCATACATCTCCGTCACCTTTGCAAGTGATGACCACACCATGGCCGTTTTCTATGTGGGGCATGGATGTCATTGGGACAATTACACCAAAGGCTTCGAATGGACATCGTTTCATATTTGTGGCAATTGATTACTTTACTAAGTGGGTTGAGGCAGCCTCGTATGCAAATATCACGAGATCTACAGTTTGCAAATTCATAAAGAAAGAGATAATTTGTCGGTATGGATTGCCAGAAAAAATTGTCACAGATAATGCCACTAATTTGAATAACAAAATGATGGTAGAACTTTGTACTCAGTTCAAGATAAAACATTCTAATTCAGTGGCCTACCGTCCAATGATGAATGGAGCAGTGGAAGCAGCAAATAAAAATATTAAAAGGATCATCACAAAGACCACTGATACTTACAGAGATTGGCATGATAAATTACCTTTTGCCTTGTATGCATATCGAACTACAGTGCGGACTTCGACAGGGGCAACACCTTTCTCTTTAGTATATGGGATGGAAGCAGTCTTGCCAGTGGAAGTAGAAATCCCATCACTTCGAATTTTGAAAGAGGTGAAATTGGATGAAGCTGAATGGGTTCAGGCGCGGTTTGACCAATTGAATCTCATTGAAGAAAAGAGATTAAAAGCTATTTGCCATGGTCAGATGTATCAGAAACGGATGATGAGAGCTCATGATAAGAAAGTTCATCCAAGAGAATTTCGAGAGGGTGATCTAGTGCTAAAAAAGATCCTGCCAATTCATAAAGATTTCCGAGGGAAATGGATGCCTAATTGGGAAGGTCCATATGTTGTCAATAAGGCCTTCTCTGGGGGAGCGTTGATCTTGGCAGAGATGGATGGAGAAAAATTGAGAAATCCAGTAAACTCAGACTCTGTCAAGAAGTACTATGCTTGAAGAAAAAAAAGGGAACAAATAAAAAGATGAAAAATGAAAAAATGAAAAGGAAAAAAAAATGAAAAATGAAAAAAGAAATGAAAAAATAAAAAGAGAAAAAGGAGGGTTTGAGATGAAAATCCGCAAAGGACATTTTGAAACCAAAGGAAGACTTTGAGTTGAAAACCTGAAAAGGCGGCTCAAAAGCATTTTGAGATCAGGCATCAGACAACTAAATCTTCTTGAGGGTCTGATATTTTGAGAGAAGCTTCACATCTATAGACATTTTGGCAATTCTCGAAGTCCTCCAGACAGAAGCTCAACTCAATAGTTATCAAGTGGATTGATTCAGGAACATTCGTGCTAATGATCCATAAGGACATTTGACTTATGGTTTTAAATTTCCATTATTCATGTGATTGCCATAACTTTGTAAATTCAATTTCTTGTCAGTAAATTCGAAGTTTGTTATTTCAAGTTCCAATTTTATTCATTCTTCTTATAAGTAGATTGACATGGCATTAAAAAATAAAAAGATTTTTGGTATTACTCTGAATAAATACTTCCATAGCAGAGATTCTAACCCTAATGATCGAAAAGATTAGGGTAAGACATGGCCAAAGAAAATGCATATGAGTTGAGAAAAGAAAGCATATTGAAAAACTGATATTTTGGTACGCTGATAAAGATGAGCAGTTAAAAAAGAAACATAAAAGGATTTGCATGGGAACAAGAGAAATGAGAATTTGCATAAAATAGCCCAAGCAAAATGTGGAAGGACAAATGAAACATTTAAAATGAAGATTTGCAGGACCACAAAGTTCATAATATTAAAATGACATCATGCATACATCAGTAAGCATCTATGAATAGGAGCATGCTCATTCATTCATATTCATTGAAATGCTTTGAATGTTTTGCAGAAATTCAGAGAAAGTCAATAACAATTAAGATTCATCGCAGAAGGAGGTGAACCAGCATTTCCAATGGAGAGTTCATAATAAGAAGAACTCATCCGACAGAGGGAGAAGAAGTTCATAATGAGAAGAGCTTGTTCGACCTATCACTCGATTCACGACATTTTGAATCAGTGACACCTTGCTTGAAGGATCAGTATTTCCAATGGAGAGTTCATAATGAGAAGAACTCATCCGACAGAGGGAGAAGAAGTTCATAATGAGAAGAGCTTGTTCGACCTATCACTCGATTCATAACATTTCGAATCAGTGACACCTCGCTTGAGGGATCAACATTTCCAGTAAAGAGTTCATAATGAGAAGAACTCATCAAACGAGGAAGAAGAAGTTCATAATGAGAAGAACTTGTTCAACTTCGCATCAACATTTTCAATGGAGGGCTCATAATGAGAAGAACTCGTCCGAAAGAGGGAGAAGAAGTTCATAATGAGAAGAGCTTGTTCGACCTATCACTCGATTCATGACATTTCGAATTAGTGACACCTAGCTTGAGGGATTGATATTTTCAGAAGAGTTCATAATGAGAAGAACTCATCCTAAAGGAGAAAGTTCATAATGAGAAGAACTTGTTCCTTTCAAGTCCATCACAGAAAGAGATGGATCAACATTTCCAATGGAGAGTTCATAATAAGAAGAACTCATCCAATGAGAGAGAAGAAGTTCATAATGAGAAGAACTTGTTCAACTTCGCATCAATATTTTCAATGGAGAGTTCATAATGAAAAGAACTCATCCGATAGAGGGAGAAGAAGTTCATAATGAGAAGAGTTTTTTTGACCTATCACTTGATTCACGACATTTCGAATCAATGATGCCTCGCTTGAGGGATCGACATTTCCAATGAAGAGTTCATAATGAGAAGAACTCATCATAAAAGAGAAAGTTCATAATGAGAAGAACTTATTCCTTTCAAATTCACCACAGATGGAGGTGAACCAACATTTCCTGAAGAGTTCATAATGAGAAGAACTCGTCCTAAAGGAGAAGTTCATGAGGAGAAGAATTTGTTTAATCTAACGACAAAGGAAGAATAAAAAAAATGGTTATCTTTTTCGTCTTTGCCCTATTCTTGTTTACACAAGAATGTACAAAGAGGGGCAGCTGTAGACACCCATTTTTTTGTCAGGGTTAAAAAAATATTATTAAATTATTATTATTAATTTTAGTATTATTAAGTGTGTTTATATTTTTGTGCAGGCCAAATATGGCCCAATTATAAGATACAACCCAGTTCAAGCCCAAGAACCGGATCCACTCAGTAATCCATCAGCAGCAGACCAACTCCCAGACATGAGCTGAGCCATCACCGAGTCATTGAGCCAACACCGACGTATTGATTTGCACAAATCATCTACAGTGATAGATTACCTGCTTCAATCAGCTAAAGTCAAGAAAATTAATGATTTCACCTAAATTAGTCAGTATCTTACCAAATACGAAGAAAATCAAGATGCAGCCATGAAGATTTGGTGAGAATATCAAGCATAAATTAAAGGGTGTTTGAACAACAAAAAAGGGGAAGAGAACACTGATCAGAAAGAAAAAAAAACCAGAACCATTCGGGGAGAAAAAAAATATGAACAAAAAGAGGAATAAAAAAGAATTGTAACAGTGGGTTGGCTTCTACTTTTTATCTATTTTTTTTAGATTCGAAAGCAGTGTAAGATTGGCAATTCTTCACCCATTTTCGCAGAAAAATAAAAGGTATTTCGCTTTATTTTACTAGTTTGAATGGTATTTGTGTTTCGTTTTTTTTACATCAATAAAAATACAAATAAACAAAATAAAGGGAGGTTTGGTTGTTACCTTGATCGGTTGAATCATATGGCGGCCGGCGTTAAGAGCTTCGAAACTCTCGGGAGTGAGACGAAAGGAAAGAAATAGGAGAAGCCATGGGGAGCGGGGTTGCGGCTGAAAGGAAAATTATAATGAGAGTTAGGTTAAGCATTTTCACCTAAAATAATATATATATATTCATCAAAATTGCATTGTTTCATTATGTTTTCCCGTGTTTTGCAAAGGGAAGAGTAAATTCATTGGTTAATCCTTTAATCTTCGAAGTATTCCATTTGGGTCCTTAAGTTTTTAGTTTCTGATTGTAGGTCCTAAGTTTCATGCTTATTTCATTTCAGTCCCTAATCGTAGGTTTATGTGTTTATAATTTTGTCTCTATATTTTGTACGTTTTTTATTTTAGTCCTGAACGCTAATATTTTCTTTCATTTACACATCAAAGCTCCAAGTTTTTGCATGTTTTATTTTAGTCCCTGTTTTTAGTCTAAGTTAATTTATTTTTGTATTTTTAATATTCGGTTTGTTATTTTGGAAATTTTCCATTTCAATACAATACATGTTTAGGAATTTATTTTTAATTTAAATATTAGTAATTATGTTAATTTATTTTAGCCCATAGATTAGATTGTAAATATTTTAGTCATAATTTAAAGTTTTTTTGGATTAATTCTTTAAATTTAAATTTAGTTTAATCTAGTCCTTTGTGTCTCTATTTACATACTTGTACATGTGTGCAACATCATTTGTATATTATTGTTTAAATGTTTTATGTGGAATAAATGTAGATTATATTAAATTATTATTTATTCATATATTAACTTGGATTATTCAATATTTATTCTTTTGTTTTAGTCCCTTAATTATTTAGTTTGCTAATCTTTGTTACTTCATGCTGTAAATTGGTATTTAAGTGTAGTGTTAACATCTATATTAATCTTAATATATATATATATAATTAATCTAAATTCACTTGATTTTGTTATAAGCATGTAAAGTAATTTCAATTATATTAATGTTATTATGTAGATCGATTTATTTGTTACTTATTATATTTTAAAAATGTTATATATTTATATGTATATATTTTACTACAAATTTTTAGCAAACACTATTTTATTAGTTTATTTAAATATATTTCAAAAACACTTTTAAAATTATTAATTCAAAGCAAATTAATTAATATTCAATAAATGGATCATAATTTAATTTTATATTTAATTCATGATTTTCACCATTTACGACAATGTGTAAGCGAAACAGTACCAATTTTGGGCGCTGTGGGGGTGCTAATCCTTCCCCACGCGTAACCGACTCCCGAACTCGTTTTAAACGAATCTTGGTAAACGCAGGCCAGCTTTTGTCTTAAAAAATGATTTTTCTTAAAATTGTTTTTAAAAGACGTTTTTAGGTATTCGACCTACCTAACCCAAAGGTTGATGGCGACTCTTTTTAATTCTTTTTAATTTATTTCAAATTACTCCAAAATCACCCATTTTCCAAAATTAAAAGTCGTAACTGTTTTTAAAACAATTTAAAAGATTGTCCCGCCGGAAAACGGTTACGACACATATGGGAAAAAGGGACAGCCATTTATAATTATTCATACTAAAATTCTAAATTTTAATTATTTTATATTTTAATATTTTTAAATTATCTATTGTATGATGAGAATCAGACTGTAATTGAATTGGGTGTTAAATCGGTTAATTCAGTTAATCGACTGAACCGAACTATTTAATATTTATTAACAAAAATTTTCTCTTTTAATCGTTAATTGAACCAATTTTTCTTTTCAAAAAATTTTAACCGAACCAAACTAAGTTCGATTAATTTGATCGGTTAACCGAATTAACCGAAATTTATAAATATATATATTTTATATTAAATATTTAATTTTTTGGTTAATTTGGTCAGTTATTTCGATTAAAATCTAATTTTAAACACCACTAATACTAAGTAATATATAAATAATATATATAATATTTAATAATTTTGGTTAATTTAGTTAATTAATTAATTTCGAATCAAATTATCTAATAATTGATGTTTGAAAAAATCATTAATCATTAACCGATTAAACCAAAATTAACCGAAAAAATTCGATTCAATCGGGTAATTCGATTTTAACTAAATTATGAACATCTATATGAGATCGTTATTTTTTTATTAAAATAATTAAATAATAATTAAATAAAAATCATATATACGTGGTAATCGATGGTACTATTTGAACCACCAATTATTAGTCTCTATTTCTTGTATTTTTACTGGCTCACAACGGTTTGCTCTAATTCTCGTCATGTACTATTAGTCAGACCATTAATTCATAGCTCAAATTGATTGGTCTAATTTGATTACAATAAAAATGACATTTGAATTTTTTAGGCAAAAAGGTTACGAGTTCTTTAAACTTTTGAAAATAAAGTCAACGAGTTCTTTGAATTATTTTTCATTTAATGTAGTACTTCAACTTATAAAATAAATTTATTGTGATTCTTTGATCAAAAATTTTTATGTTGACCGTTATAGTGTTAATATGATAGTTTATAGTGCTAAAGTGACGGTTTAAAGTGATTGTTGACATGACGGATGACATGACAAATGGGGGAGGTTATGTTGTGAGGCGGACTAATATGCGACTAAAAAACGATGTGACCGGTTAAAAGCGCTACCGAAAATATTATATTTTTTCATTGTAAATATTATTTGTATTGATAATAATAATGTTAATAACCAAGAATATTATCGTGGTATGTAAAATAAGCCAAAAAAACATTGACTTTAACATAATATGTTAATTACTTGAAACATTAATAACATAACAGGTATCACTTATATAACGTAATAGATAGAGCATTTTTAAAGTTGGTGTGGCCTTAGAAATCTGACGATAACAAATTAAGTTAATTGCTTGATTTGTTATTAATATTATCAACATATTAGGTAGTGCCTAAAATGTTACCAAAGTTTAAGTTGATGGAGTATTAGAAATTAGACGATAACAAAATAGGTTAATTACCGAAAACATTATCAACCATAATAACATAACAAGTAGCGCTTATTTAATGTAATAGATAGCGCATGTTTAAATCTGATGGAGCCTTAGAAATCCGATGATAACAAAATAGGTTAATTACTTAATTTGTTATCAATTTTATCAACATATACCTAAAATGTTACCAAATTTTAAGCTAATGGAGCCATCCTTATAAATCCGAAGATAATAAAACAAGTTAATTACTGGAAACATTGTCAACCATAATAACATAACAAGTAACGCTTATTTAATGTAATAGGTAGCGACTGTTTAAAGCTGATGGGGTCTTAGAAATCCGACGATAACAAAATAGGTTAATTACTTTATTTGTTATCAATATTATCAATATATTAGAAAGTGCCTAAAATGTTACCAAAGTTTAAGCTGATAGAGTCTTAGAAATCCGACGATAACAAAATAAGTTAATTACTGGAAACATTATCAACCATATTAACATAACAAGTAGCGTTTATTTTCATTATACCGGTAGAAATGTCTACCGTGTACATTGTTAATTTACCTATTACTTTAAAGTAATAGATCTTGAAATTCCATGTATCGATATTTTATACATGTGTACCGATACTTGATGTTTACGCCTATTATCATTATACCGATATACTTTTACTATTTTCATTGTAAATTAACCTATTACTTTAAAGTAATAGGTTTCGAAATTATAAGTATCGATAATTCATATATGTGCATCGATATGTTTTGCGTGCAAATTGTTTGAGAAGCATACTAGAATAAATGTATCGATATCAACATATTAAAACTTATAATTTAAGCCTATTATCATTATATCGGTAGACTTTTACCGCTTACATTATAAATTTACCTATTACTTTAAAGCAAAAGTTTTCAAAATTACCAGTATCGATACTTTATATATGAGTATCGATATTTTGTTGCGTACAAATTGTTTGTGAAGCATATTGGAATAAAAGTATCGATACCGATATAAAAGTATATATACTTTATGTTTACGCCTATTATCATTATACCGGTAGACTTTTACCGTTTATATTGTAAATTTACCTATTACTTTAAAGTAATAGGCTTTGAAATTCCAAGTATTGGTACTTTATATAAGTGTATCGATACTTTTTGTGTTTAAATTGTTTGATAAACATACTAGAATAAAAGTATCAATACCGAGAAACAAAGTATAGATACTTGATGTTTACGCCTATTATCATTATACCGATAGACTTTTACTGTTTTCATTGTAAATTTACCTATTACTTTAAAGTAATAGGTTTCAAAATTCCCAGTATCGATACTTAATATATGGCTATCGATTCTTTGTTACGGGCAAATTGTTTGAGAAGCATAATGGAATAAGAGTATTGGTATGGGCATGAGAAGTATCGGTACTTGGACATTTACACCTATTTTATTTTACCGTTTCCATTATTAGTAACCTTTTATACAAACCGGTAGGTATTATAACGTAATAGGTAGCG